AATTCAATTCATATTACACAATTTTTCATGTCTCCGATTGAACACAAAGTAGAGTTACACCACTCATATTTTCATACATGTATTTAGGGTAATGATGTCCATGTCATCCCACTGATTATTACCCTTTTAAGAGTTGAGTAGTTGTTGGGTGCAGACAGTGTCATGTGCAGCCTTCTAGAACTTCCCATCTTGCAAAATGGAAAATCTGCAGATTGCACACTAAGTCCCCAACCCCAGCCCCAGGTGGCCCCTCTTCAACTTCTGCCTATGGATTTGACAACTCTAGGTCCATCAATAAGTGGATCTTGCAGTTTTGTTGTGACTGGCTTAGTTCATTTGTCAGAATGTCCTGCAGGTGAGCTGCATGTCTTACAAGAGTCTGTTTCTCTGCCCGAACAGGGTGAATCTTCTTTTCGTTTCCTGAGCACTCTGGTGAAGCGGTCAGCTCCATGCATTTTTTTAATGTTATTTTCCCCMAATAGTATTGAGGTGGAATTGACAACATTTGTTATAGGTGTACAACACGGGGCTTTGCCACATGGATTCGGTGTGAATGATGATCACAACAAACCGGTCAGCATCCCCATCCYGGGCGTGGGCACCTGTCAGCTCCCTGCTGGGCAGCAGGGCGGCGCCTTCTCTCCTCTTCCTTGGGATCCCCATTCTGTCTTGAGAATCGCTGGACTCCAGGTAGAATGGGAATGTGAGAAGCCCGAGTGGACCAGCCAGGGTCCTCAGGCCTGTCACCTCCTTCATTGGGCATCAGTGTGGTTCTGAGTGCCACCAGTTCCTGACCAGGGCTGACTTGTTGCAGGATTTCAATCCAGATGGGGTCCCTGGGTGACCTGGCTAGTGATGAAGAGGAGGAAGATAGGTAAGGAACTTTCTGAATCTGTGACAGCCACACTGGCTGGTTGTGCGGGGCTGCTGTGGGTCCACATGAGGGTCTGAGTACCTAGAAGTTTCCTTCCTCCCGCCTGCAGGCTTCTCTGGGTGCTGGTGACGTGGTGTTTGAGGTGAGCTGATCCATAGCGCCCGCACTTAGAATGGTGCACTTTTCTACATTCATGATTAAAAAAAAAACAACTTATAAAGCCTCTGAGGCCTTTCCCTCCATCCACAGATACACTGGGGTACCTTGGGGACTCAGGTGGCTTTTCCATGTCTGAGCCCAGGGTGGGACAGGAAAGGGGCCCAGGAGCTGCAGGAGGAGGACCTTCCAGCACTGATCCTCCACTGTGCCYGAGGGAGCTCCTTCCCACAGCATCTCTCTGCCCTCTGCTGGCGGCAGAGGATCTCCCAAGTCCACCAAGTCTATGTCCAGGCCTCTTCATCCCCTTCAGCCATCAGGGGTTGGGCCAGGGTCCAGAGGCTCAGGCCTGGGCTGGTCGTGGGGGCCACGGGTAGGAGTGGGAGGGGCTGCAGGGGAAGYTATGGGGAGGGCCACAGGTGAAGGTGGCTGTAGTTGGAGGGGCTGCAGCTGGAGGTGCCTAGGCGGGGCCCTAGATGGAGGAGGGGCTGCAGGTGGGAGCTGSAAAAGCTATTTAATGGGGGCGGTGGGCCAAGACCCGCCAGCAGGCTGTTTCATCCCACAAGGGTTAGTCYGTGTGCTTGTGGGGGCTGCAGGAACCCACCACCAGGTGCATGGCAGGCCTCTGGCTTTGGGGGCTGGCTCTGCTGGCCTTGCCAGGTAAGCTGGCTGCCTGCCCCTCCTGATGGGCCCAGCCTGTAGGGCTCCATGGGAAGGCTGGTCAGGGYGGCTGCAGAGATCCTAACTGAGCTTCATGGCACCTTTCAGGGTGTTCCTGGAAGTCAGCCCTGGGGGCTGTGGTGGGGACCTCCTGAAGGCCTTGGGAGCAGAGGCCCTACCTGGCAGCAGACAGACCCACTTATTTGGGGGTAGGGGTCCCCACTCTAGCCTGGACAGAATCATCCATGCTGAGCCCATTTTCCAAAAGCCTGGGCTGACAAAAGGAGCTGAAGAGCAGGTCTGACCAGCCCTGCCCCTGCCGCTGTCCTTAGCAGCTGAGCCCYGGTTCCGCCCCACTCCTAGCAGCTCATGCATTTTTAAGCCAAGTGTTGGTCCTGGAAGGGACCTCCCTCCTTGCAGTTGGCTAGGCCTTGTCACCACTGGGGCCAAGTGGGGAGGCCAGGTGATACTCCTGCAAGGGGGTCTATCCTTCATGAAGGGCTGGGTCTTACAGTTTGGCATCCCATCGTCACCCCATGTCACCCCTTCTGCCTCACTCCTGGGGCACTCTGGGAAGCTAAGTAGCTGCATCCCTCTGTCTGGACCAGGTTGGATCCTTGGAGCATCCTTAGCCTCCAGATGTCCAGGAGCTTGTGACACYGGGGTCCCAGAAGGCCTCACCTCTGAAGAGACCCAGGTGTCCTGGGACAAGGACATCCCTGCGATTAACCAAGGTAAGGACACTGTCCTCTCTGGCCTGGAGGGGCATGACATGGTTCATGTGATGTAAAAACACCTGGATCCAAACACTGGGATCTGCAGAAAGAGCCGAGGGGCAGAATCTGGCTGAGTGGGCTCTAAGTAGGTAGAGGTTCTAGCACTTTTTTGGTACTAAGGAATGAACCCAGGGGYACCCAACCACCGAGCCACATCCCCAGCCCTTTTTAATTTATTTAGAGACAGGGTCTCACTGAATTGCTTCAGGCCTTGCTAAATTGCTGAGGCTGACTTTGAATTTGAGATCCTCCTGCCTCAGCCTCCTGAACTGCTGGGATGACAGGCAGGTGCCACTGCCCCTGGCTCAAGGCAAATTCCTACCTGGACTTTTCCTCTGTCTTTTCCCATGGGTTGTAAACACCACAGGCCTTTTTAAAAATTGGCCTGAGGGAAGTAAAGGTCACCGGGCTCTCTGACCTGGGCGCTAAGCTTTATCATCAGCACATGTTGGAAAATGCCTCAAGCACCCTGTGAGGGACAGGCTGCAGGCGTCACCAGGCTAGGGGTACCGAGACTCAGGACCCCCCCATTTGGAGATCTCTGCTGAAACTGAGTGCACACAGGCCGCCTGGGACAAAACTGGTACAAAAGACGGGAGTTCCCATGTCACAGCTGTCGGGGGCTGAAGCATTGGGGAGGCACAAGTGACCTGGCCCTGGGGTGGRTGGGAGTCTGATGGCTGTGGGCGCCATCTTGGAGCCAACTAGGAGCCCTGGCACCTTCTCCTGCTCCGTCGTCATGGGTGGTCTGGAGGTACCATCGCCAAGCGTCTTTCTTGGCGTTGACTATCAGAGGCYGTGGAGAGAACTCTCCTGAGCTGGTGGCACCTACAGCTGAGAACCTGCCACCTGGCTAATGGCTGCCCACGCCCTGGCCAGTGCCCCTCACGGACAGCACCTGTGAGTGATGGCCACCAGAGCCGCCCAGCTGTCCCTGTTTCCTGAGCATAACGTTGGCCAAAGGGAGCCGCCTTGGGACAAGGCCGGGGTGCYGTCTGTGGCCCAGCGCTGCCAGGGGACCAGCCACCTGTGTTCTTCTCAGCCCTTTCCTGCTTCCCTCGTGGTCCCCTGGAGATGGCTCCCTCCTTAGGTCACTTGCAGAAGCCACCATGGCTTCCAGAAAGAGGAGGAACACAGACAGCCACTGTGGGGAGGGGCGCACGGGAGCTGGCGCTTGTCCCCACTCCWTGGTGGTGTGAATGGGATTTCCCTCTCCTGTCACCTGGGGGCCTGGGTGTGACAGGTGGGTAGAGGTCGGGAGGAAAATCAGGTGAGCAGGAGACGAGGAGCAGGTCCTCGGGAGAGGGACTTGGGCAGGGGTGGGGGAGGGGGGACAGCGGGAGGCCGCCTCTCAACGGCAAAGGACCTGGCGTTGGGTCTGGACCCCAAGGGCTGTGGGAGCTGTGGGTGGTGTTTGAGCAGGGGATGGACGCCTCGGGCTAAGAGGCAACACATGTGACCGGAGACTGAGCCTCACAGGGGCCGAGTGACCATCTGAGRTCACACAGTCTCGGCACTTGGAGATACTCTGGCTCCAAAGCTGAAGGAGGYCTGGCCAGAGCCTGTCCCCAGCCGCCTGGGCCAAGGCACATCCTTCTCTCCCTTCCTCCCAGGGCTCATCCCGGAGGAGACCCCAGACAGCAGCTTCCTGGTGGAGGGGGACATCATCCGGCCGGTGAGTGTGACCATGGGAGGACAGCACCCTGGGTGCCCACCCTGAAGGTGTCCAGGGGGCTTGACATCCTTGTTTCTCATACTTGGATGGACACCTCTTTTGGCCAAGGTCAGGGTGACTGTTTTATTGGGAACAAGAAGCCTGAACTGAGGGAGGTGACAGCTAAAGTGGCACTAGCCTCAGCCCAAGAGGGCTTCCTGGAGGAGGTTGGAGCCCTCGGGCCCTGCTCAGTACCCTGCCAGCACTGGAGGAGAAGCACTGGAGGAGATGGGGGGGCACAGGCTGAGAGACTGGGGTGGGGGGAGCTGGGTGGCCACTGTGACCCGAGTGAGGGGCAGCCAGGACGAGGGGCCAAGTGAGAAGGGAAGGGGCTGGTGGGAACTGGGCTGGCCTGCTGGGGGAGAGGGGACAGTGTTCAGGAGGGCGACACTGTATTCTCAGCCACTCAGCAGGAGGCTCCTGAGTGGGGCGGTGTGGGGTGGGAAGCAAGCCCACCTGGTACCTGCCCTGGAGAGCCAGAGGCCAGCACGGCTACGTGAAGCCCAGAGGCAGGGAGCTGGTCATGTGACCCCACTCTACCCMGAGCAAAATCAAGCAGCCTTCTTTGGCCTTTGGGGCAGGACTGCTGGGAGCGGTGGAGCCTACCCTTGCAAGAGTTCTGGTTGGTGGGAAAACGRGGGAACGGCAAGGGCCAGGGTTTTGCCTGAGCATTACCCTGAATGTCCCTGTCCCCCTCCGCTTTCCCCAGTCAGGGCTGCTCTGAGGGCGGAGTGCTCTGCTGGGGTGCTAGGGTGGGGCTGCTGGCTGGAGCTCACAGCCCTGGGACGCCTGGCCAMCCTCGGACACCCATCTTCTTTTTATCCACTTAATAGAATGAGTTACAAGTTCTGTGACATCCTAGACTGAGGGTTGGGTGTTGAGCATGACAATTCACATGGCTAGTGCCAGGTGTGGTGGTGGCACCTGTCATCTCAGCAGCTAGGGAGGCTGAGGCAGGAGGATGGCAAGTTCAAGGCCAGTCTCAGCAACTTAGCAAGACCCCGTCTCAAAAAAATAAAAAGGACTGGGTGTGCGGCTCAGTGGTAAAGCGCCCCAGGTTCAATCCCTTAAAAAAAAAAATCCACATGGCTGGCCCGTTCACTTCCTGTGCTTCTGTCCCTCTTCCCATGGCCTCTCTCTCCACACACCATGACCCACCTGTCACATCTTTAGGGTTCTGGTGGCTGGGGGTCAGGTACCCTTGGGGCACAAAACTTGGGTGGCCTGTGTTCCTAGACATCTCTGAGATGTCCTCTCTCCTCAGAGTCCCTTTCGACTATTGTCAGTGACCAGCAACAAGTGGCCCAAGAGTGCCAGCGGTGCCGTGGAGGTCCCCTTCCTGCTCTCCAGCAAGTATGGTGAGTAGGTGGGGTGCAGTGCCCCTTGCTGGCCCAGCCCCTTCCTCGTGCGCTGGGCTCCTGTCTGGGCTTCCCCCCGTTTCCTTGGGTGGCCACATCCTCTCTCCTCCCCAAAGGGCCCTCTATGGGGGTCCTTTTGTTCCCAGGGTCTCCTRAGCCRGGAGAGATGGAGAGGGTCCACAKGGGACTGTCTGGTCCCCACGGGCCACATGGTCACACAGCTAGGGTCTGTCTGGAGCTCCGCCTTCTTCCCTGATGCTGCTGCTGTCTGACAGCTTSGGGGGAGTGAGCCGGAAGCACCACTCCCAGCCCCATGTGGACGTCACAGGGCTGGAGGGCTCTGGACCTCGGCTGGGGTTCAGCCAGGCCGTGTCTCCCCCAGATGAGCCCAGCCGCCAGGTCATCCTGGAGGCGCTGGAGGAGTTCGAACGCGTCACCTGCATCAGGTTTGTCACCTACCAGGGCCAGAGAGACTTCATCTCCATCATCCCCATGTCGGGGTGAGTGCTCTGGGGTTGCGACTCTCGGCTTTCTTTTGTGGCCAGCACAGTAGGACCTGGGTGGGGTTGATGGCCTGTTTCCAGGCTCCTTTTCCTGGGCTCAGATTCCCCCTGTGCACCCCAGGGGTTTGCCCCAGGGGTTCTGGGCCCACAGGACTGAAGCTGGCGATCCGATCCGGTGGGTGCTGGGCCCTCGTCTGCAGAGCCCGCATCTGCCGGAGGCTCTGGTGTGAGTCTGGGCAGGTCTTGGGTCCTTTCTCGGCGGCGTACAGGTGCTGTGGGCCTCCAGGTGGACCGAGTCCCCTATCTTCCGAGCCTCTGAGATGGGGGTGGTAGGGTACCCTGCATCCTAGCTCACCTTGGTGCAGGTGGAAGCTTTGGACTTGGGTCCACTGGCTCTGGGTGCAGCCTGTGTTCTCCATAATGACATCAGTGCCCATCTCTTACTGGCACCTGGGCTGCTAAGGAGACTTCATTGTGTCCATTTCACAGAAGGCTAGGCAGTCGAGGGACCTGGAGTAGGACAGCAAACCTGGGGCTGGTCCAGGAAGAGGGCCATCTGCTCATCTGTCCTGGGCCTGGGTGTGAGGGAGGGCCTGGCCTGCCCTGGCCCTGTCGGGGCTGCCCCAGCAGCCGTCTCTCTGGTCTTGCAGGTGCTTCTCGGGTGTGGGGCGCAGCGGAGGAATGCAGGTGGTGTCCCTGGCGCCCGCCTGTCTCCGGAGAGGCCGGGGGATCGTCCTGCATGAGCTCATGCATGTGCTGGGCTTCTGGCATGAGCACTCGCGGGCCGACCGGGATAACTACATCCGCGTCAACTGGAACGAGATCCTGCCAGGTAAGGCAGGCTGGGCCTGGAGGTATGGGGTGCCGGGGGAGGAGGGCAGCAGCTCTGGCCAGGGCATTGTCCACCTCCCGTGGGGGAGGTTGTCCGTCCTCCCCACCACCTACCTGACCCTCTGGGGTTCCTGCTTCTAATACCTGAGGAGTAGTCCAGCTGCCTTTGCCTTGGGCTCTGAGCCTTCGCCTGCCCCCTAATCATGCCTGAGCAGGAGTGTCACCATCCTCTTCATCTCCTCACTGGTACCATCAGTCAATCACCGTCAGAGCATGGTATCTGGGTGAATTGAGCAAGAGAGGAGCTGGGAGATGGCAGGGTGCATGTGCCAGCCGAGGGGGCCCAGGGCAGCACTGCAGGTGGACGTTGACAGGGATGTGCATCAGGAGCCCAGGGGACTGAGGAGGCGGGTGTCGGAGTGGGCCCCAGCTCTGCCCATGAGCAGCTGCTGCGTGCTGGGCATCTGGTTCCAGGGATGGGGGATCCCTGCTCTTGTGGCTTGGTGGCCTGATTCTAGAGGTAGGATGAAGGACAACTGACTGATATGAGAAGGGTACCAAGGGGTTACAGGAGGAGTGGGGGGGGGGTTCCTGAAGGCAGAGGGCTCTGACGGAAGTRGGAGCTCCCCTGGGGCTGTGGCATTGGCTCAGGGAAGGTACCTGAGGTCCAAGACAGGAGCACATGGGTAACACCTTAYCAAGGGGCCAGGATTGAGAGACACTGTAGGGGGGTGGCAGTGACAGATGACTCTGTACCCAGCAATCTGAGACCACATCTTTCACGCGCTCCTGGAATACTCGTGAACCTTTGCCCTGAGAAACACCGCGTTTGAAAAGGCTGTTAAGACCAGGTTCCGGTCATGACCATAAAATAGAAACCMATAGCAGATCAAAGTCAGAAACATCTCCCACTTAGGTTTGTTGTTGTTGTTTTTCATTTAATGTCTTCCTTTTGGCTCTGGAGTTAAACTGCAGGGATTCTCAAAAACGAAATTATAGAAACCTTTAAAAGGTTTGTGGCTCAAGCGACCTTGGGGAAAATGTGWAGATGTATGTGAACATATTCATAAAAATAGAGAGGGGCTGGGCGTAGCTCAGCGGTAGAACACTTGCCCAGCAGGTGTGAGGGGTGTGTGACCTGAGGCGGAGGTCAAGGTGGAGCTGCTGCTGGGATGGGGCTTCATGGCCACACCTGGGTGGGACAGCAGACTTTTAGCTGGGTCAAGGAGTAGATGGAGCAAGGCATCCAGGACACTCATCAGCATGTGACTTCATAGAAGCTGGGGGTCTGCAAAGATTCGGCCCATACAAGGTGACTTTGAGAAGAAGGAGAGGTAGGGAGAACTGGTAGGTGGATGTCCCTGGCCAGCCATGTGTCCCTTGCTTCTGCATCACCTGGTATGGGTTTAGATCCCTCCCAGGGCTGGGGGTGAGCAGGAAGGGGTACAGAAGGCCAGAACCAGTGCAGGAAATTACACACTTAAGCTGAAGGTCTGAAACCACAGCTAAGTGGGTTGTCAGTGCCTGCCGCCGGTTCTTTTTATACATCTCCAGATTGCATTTTTTTTTTTTTAAATAAGGCTTTGAAATCAACTTCATCAAATCTCGGAGCAGCAACATGCTGGCGCCCTATGACTACTCGTCGGTGCTGCACTACGGGAGGTGAGCATCCCTCTTCTGAACCTCCTTCCCCTGCCCTGTCCTCCCAGCCCTAGTGTGACTCGGCTTTGCCCCACCCCTGGGTTCCAGGCTGGCCTTCAGCCGGCGTGGGCAGCCTACCATCACACCACTCTGGGCCCCCAGTGTCCACATTGGCCAGCGATGGAACCTCAGTGCCTCAGATATCACACGAGTCCGCAGGCTCTATGACTGCAGCCCAAGTGTCCCCGAGTCCCAAGGGAGAGGTGAGTGACACGGGAGGGTGACTTGGGCTGGAGAAGGCKCTGGTCCTAAAGTCGGGTCAGGGAGGGTAAAGTGGTAGAAGATGAGGTTGCAGACGGGAGAAGATGAGGTGACAAGGGGACTATCACAATTGATTTAGGTAGGGAAAGTATTTGGAAAAGTTAACACTCACTTGTGATTAAAACCTTTTAGCAACTGGAAATAGAAGAAACGTTCTACTTAATGCAGTCTACCAAAAACCTAGAGCAAAATCATCTTTAATGTTAAAACATTAAACTAGGACCAAGACAAAATTTCCCACTATTGTCCCAYCTAGTGGGACAATATATAGAGAGAATAGTGGTCTTAGCCATTGCAATATGGCAAGAAAAAGAATTTTGAGGACTATAAGGGAAATAAAAATTGTCACTAATACTAATTATATTAAAAACAGAAAAATCTACATTGGTGACTATGGTAATTTAAAAGGTAAATGTAATCATTACATCAGAATCAATTATACTTCTATTTACCCTCAGAAAATATAACTTTTGAGAAAGATAGCATTGATACTACTAATTAAAACAAGGCCCTGAGGAATAAAAGTGACACAAGCTATATAAAACTTCTAATGGAGGAAAACACTTATTTTAAAAATACTTAAATACATAAACTGGTTTGATGGTGCACACTTGTAATCCCAGCAACTGGGAGACTGAGTTGGGAAGGTTGCAAGTTTGAGGTCAACCTCAGCAGCTTAGGGTCTTGCTAAATTGCTTAGGACCTTCTATCTCAAGATAAAAAAGGCTGGGAATGTAGCTCAGTGGTACAGTACCCCTGGGTTTAGTCCCCAGTACCAAAACAAACAAAATCCCCCAAATTTAGGTAAGTATGTTATTGATAAGCAAACTATTTTTTTTTGGTGTTCCTGGGAATTGAACCCAGGGCTTTCACATGCCAAGAAAGAACTCTAGTACTGAGCTACATCCCCAGCCCAAGAAACTTTCAAAAATTCACATCTCTTCAAGTAGCTCTATAGATTCAATAAATTCCCATTCAAAATTCCAACAATTTTGATGATATTGACAGGGTGATTCTAAAATTTATATAGAAATATGAAAGGCCAATAATAGCCAAGACAGTCCTGAAGAAAAATAAGCAGAGGAATTTGCCTTAACACATGTTGTCATAGTTTATGAAGTATCTATATAAAGTATACAAAATGTTTAAACATATATGCTTCCAAATGTGTTATAAAATATGTAGCATATAAAGTATCTTTAAATGGAGATCAAGGATAGACAATTGCCCAGGGAACAGAATGGAAAGGTCAGAAATGACCTCCATAAGGGACATTGATGATCACAAGGGAAATAACATATTGGTCATTAGATGGTTCTGGGACAGCTAGGTTTCTACCTAAAGAAATCAATTCCTAACTCGTATCATGTACAAATTTCATCATGTACAAGACTTCCATGTAAATGGAAGTGGAGTGGGGGCCTAGGAGGTGGTAGTGGATTCGGATGCTGGGCCAGGTCCAGAGGGACAGTGTGGGCTGTGAGGACAATAGGACTGGGTGGGAGGAGTGGCTGGTGTGTGTGGATTGGCCGTGGCTGAAGGACGGACGGCAGGGTGGGCTGACTGGGAGCCTTTGTGTGGGCAGGAGGGCCAGGGTGGAGAGAAGCCTAGGAACAGGCCAAATCACTAGGGCCTAGAGTGGGGAAGAGCTCCAACAGAAGCAAGTGGCTGGAGCTGGTCTTGTCTGGACGGGGCAGCAAGGAGGACCTGACCCTCTCCTGGTGCAGACCAGACCTGAGGGCACTCAGCCATGTCCTCCTGGTGTCCTCCTGGGGCTTGGCCATGGCTACAGTAATGGCTCTAGAGGCACCTTCAGGTGGAAGAGGTCAGGGGTGGTCATACACAGAGCAGCCCGAGGAAGGGCCTGGAAGGCGAGGGCTCTGCTGATAAGTCAGGTGGGCTCATGGTCAGGGTGGCCTGGGGCACCAGGGGGAGGTCGTGGATCTGAACAATGGGGTCTCCTGGTGGCGATTTCAGGGACCGTGTGGGGAGGGAGGGGTGGCTCTGTTGTCCTGGTCCCTGGGACTGCAGAAGTGTGGGTCTTGAGGGTATCGGGCAGCGGCTCAGCAGGACTGGCTGGTCATCGCCCAGCTGTGAGCTGGCCTGGGCACCCTGGAGCATGCTGGAGCCAACTCTGGCTCTTTGCAGCTGAACATCTACTTTCTCGCYCTGATTCTGGGGCCTGACCTCCTGTCCCTCCTCTGCAGGGTTCCAGGAGGACAGCGATAGTCGGAGTCCCACCCCCGACTCCAGGCCACACCTGCAAAGGCTTCTGGAGGCACTGTTGGCGGGACCCAGGAGCCCTGATACCCACSGCCTGAGGCCTGGAGGACAGCGTGTAGCTGCCGGGTCTGTGGAGAGCCCACACAGTGGGCAGCTCCCTGCCTGGAGGCAGCTCCATGTGGAGGCCTTGGCGAGACCCCCCCAGACCCTGGCTGCTTCCCCAGGCCCCGCAGCAGGAGCGCCTGGCATTGCTCTAGAGCAGCCCTGGCTGGCCCCAGAGGCCACCATACACCCACTCCCAGAGGCCAGAGACCAGCCAGCGTCTGCTCTGGGGAGCCCAGCTCTGCCAGGGGACTATGTCCCCAGAAGTCCCTTCAGAGGAATGTCCAGAGATTGAGCTGGTGGCCTCTGTCCCCAAATGGGGAGCACAGGTTCTGCCTGGAAGAACGAATTCACCAACCCTCTGTCCCTCTGGGCAGCATCCCTGTCTTTTATCCCCCCACCTGGCCACTCTCTCTGAGGCCAGGCTACTCCCTCTGTCCTCTCTCCATTGTGTTCCCCAAGGGCCTAGGGACAGAGTGACCCTCAGGTTCTGTCATAGGGGAAGGCAGGCCTAGCTCTGCTTGACTTTTGCTCTAGTCCTGGAGGATGCAGAGAATGGGAGGTGACATTCTCCAGGGCCAGGATCCTGAGGGGTGAGGAAGTTCCAGCCCTGAAGGCCCCTGGGAGCCTCCTGTAGCCGAGGCCCCCGCCATGGACAGATGGTGCTGCCCTCCTTCTGCCTTGGTCAGGCCTCAGTGGGGAGTTCTCTGGCTCCGCCCCTGGAACAGCCTCCTGTCCCTGATGTCCAGAGGCTGAGGATGTAGCCCTGGTCTCCAGCTCTGCTCTCCAGGAAGCTCTGAGAGCCCAGTTCTCTCCCCAGCAGGGCAGGAGGACAGTGGCCTTGGGGCACCACCTGTGGGAAGACCAGGAAGAGGTGAGGCCCCACCAGGGCCACACAGTGGGAACCCAGCTAGAGCCCAGACCCGAGGGGACTGGATGCTTATCACCCAGGTCACAGTTTCCAGGGAGCCTCGCCCTTCACGGGCTCGGCCAGAGGAGGCCCTGGTGGCCATGGGCTGCTGACCTCCAGCCACGCTTCCCTCTCCTCCCCCAGCTCCGGGCCTTCCCTGGGAGGTSTGTGTGCCAGTGGGTGRGTCTGGGCCAGGAGTCCCCAGGGGYGCCATTCTGGAGCCTGTCGGGTCAAAGAAGTCYRTGTWGGGGTGGGAGGGGAGCAGGAGCCAGTGATGGTGGGAGCCTCAGCTATTTGGGGGGGAAAATAGAAATAAAGTGGGGTGCTTGCTGCATAAGCCATGCTGTGCTGATCACCCCACGTGTGTGGGAACCGTCAACCCTAACCTGGCTGCCCTGGGAGGGACCGGAGTGGGGTCGACCCACTTTCCAGAGGAAAGAACCTTCCGAAGGCTGTGGACCTGCTCAGGGAGGCGCACAGAGGAAGCATCTGGAGGATGAGGCCTGGCCTCCAGTTCCGGGGAGAACTTGGATGTGGCCAGACTCCTGGAGTGGTCAGTGCTGAGGCTGTACCGGGGGCCATAGGGCCATGCTGATGGGCCTCTGAGTGGCCGCTAGGCCCCTAGACGGGGCTGGACTCTCTGGGAGCCGCTGGCTCAGAGGAGCTGGTGTGCTCTGTACCAGGCCCTGCCCTCCCGCCCCTCCTCTAGCTCTCGGGCTGCCTGGTGGGAGACCCGGTAGGAAGGGGCTCCTGGTCTCCATCTGGATTCTCCACAAGATGGCGCTGGGGAGGCTGGGGGCCTCCCTCTTCGGAGGTCGTCATGGAAAAGCTGCCATTATGCCCTCCTCCAGGAAGCCACCTGCCACTGCAGAGCCCYGGCCAGCTCTGGGCCCAGCCTGGGTGAGGAGAGGCCCTGGGGGTTAACCGAGCCAGGAGCTAGCTTCCCCTCCCACTGTCCCCAGCCATGGAGCTAGTGGACTCTTCAGTCCATTCACTCATTCAGCAAACACTGAGTGCTAGGGGCCAGGCAGGCTCTGAAGTGTTAATATTCTCAGGAAGCTCATCAGGGGTGGAGAGAGGGCTGGGGGAATCACCTGGCAAGTAAGGCATCTGCCATTGACAAGTGACAGSGGAGGAGCCCTCCTTTAGGTTGTTGGTCAGGAAGGGCCCTCTGAGGATGTGACATTTCAGCCATTACCTGAAGGACAGGAAGAGGCTACTTRTGAAGGTTCAGGAAAGAGCTGCGGGTACAAAGGCCCTGGGGCAGGAAGATGCAAGTGTGCTGGGCCTCGGAAAGGGGCGGAGAGCGAACAGGACAGGTCAGGTGGAGCTGGGGAGGGTTTTATTCCAAGAGCAGCWGGGGGCGCTGCAGGAGGTTTCAAAGTCCTTCCAGATGCTCCTTGGAAACCAGTTGGGCAGCAGAGCAGTTGGCCACTGCAGTCATGCAAATAAGTGACGTGGGCTGCAGAGATGGACAGAAGCCATGAGCAGTGGTGGGTTTGGGGATGGAGGCAGAAGCACTTGCAGCTGTGTGCAGTGGGTGAGGGCGCGAGCCTGTGGGGACAGCAGTGCCACAGCCCTGTGAGCCATAGGGAGGGCAGGGATGGGGAAGCGGATGTGCTTAGGTCTGAGTCGGCTGCAAGACCTCGATGGGTGGGGAGCAGGTGGGCCCAGCGGGCAGGCTGGGCTGGAGGCCAGGCAGGAGAGCAGGCTGCAGTGTGGTCAGCCTCCAGCAAATGGGAGTCACGGAGTCGTGGGGCTGGACAAACCACCCGAGAGTCCTGTCATGGGGCTGTCCACTACACCCTGGGATGCTTAGCTAYGTCTTTGGCTTCTACTGGCTGGAAGCCAGTGGTCACCTCCCTGCGCCAGGGAGTTGGGACAGTCAAAGGCATCTCCAGGCGTTGCCAAATGTCCCTTGTGGGGAGACGGGAATGYCATTCCCAGAACCACTGAGAGGGAGCTGAGAAGCAGTGGGCTCTGAGGAAGAMGTAGAACCATGAGAATTCCCAGAAAACTGGAAATGGAGCCACCATTTGACCCAGGGTCCCACTCCTCAGCACATACCCCAGGGACTTAAAATCATCATACTATAGTGATGCAGGCACATCTGTGTGTATAGCAGCACAATTCACAGTGGCAAAACTATAGAACCAACCAAGATGCCCTTCAACAGATGGAAAAAGAAAATGTGGTACATATACACAATGGAATATTGGCCATAAAGAAGATCTTTCTGATTTTTGCAGGTAAATGGATGGATCTGGAGAATATCACGCTAAGTGAAATAAGCCAGTCTCCCCCCCCAAAAAAAAAAAAAAAGCTGAATGTTCTCTCTGATAGGTGGATCTAACTCACAGTCAGGGAGTTGGGAGGTAAAAATAGAAGTTCAGTTGATTAGACTAAGGGGAATGAAGGGAAGGGAGGGGAACAGGACTAGGAAAGACAGTAGAATGAACTGGACACACTATGCCATGTGCATCTGTGAATACGTGACCAGTGTAACTGCACATCATGCACAACCACAGGAATGGGATCCTAATTAGGATAAGTTATACTCCATATGTCAAAACACTCTGTCATGTATATCTAGAAAGAACAACAAAAAAACCCTGAGTGTTCCAAGAAAAGGGAGTGGTCCCCTGCATCCCGTCCTGCTGAGAAACCAAGAGAAGCCAGAAACAGGCCTGGCCTGTGGTGACCCAGCGGGAGTGGATGTGGAGGGCCAGCTGCAGGGGCTTCTCTCTGGGGGCTCTGGAGAGAGCAGGAGGATCAGGGACCGAGCCTGGAGGCACAGGGGCGGGAGGACCGGCCTGTGAACGGGAGGCAGTGACAGAGGAGAGGGGGCGACTGAGGCCCCAAAGGACCTGCCCCTCTAACAGAGGCAAGAGTCTGAGCTCAGGGCAGGTGGGTGCAGGGGGTGGTTGTGCATGCCTTGGGGGTGGGGAGAGGCTGGGAGGTCAGAGGGGGCRGGCAGCGTCCTGGGGGAATCCGGAGACGCTGGTGGTGGATTCCAAGCCAAGCCGGTCGATGCCGTGTGTTTCACTCCGGAAAAAGCAGATGCTGGTCAACAGCAGGATGCGGGAGGATGACTGAGGTCGGAGGGAGGGGGCTGGGGTTTCGCCAGGTGACTAATGACAGGGAGAGGATGACTCTAGGGGCTGGGAAGGGGAAGGTCACGCAGGKCGTTCTGGGAAGGGGGTCCCAGGGACTGGAGAGGCTGGGCCCTCTGGGGAAGTAGGGTGTGCAGCCCCACGGGGGTCAGTCCTGGGAGCCGCTGGGGCTCCCGGGGAGATCTGGGCCACCACCTCGCCCCTCAGGCCTGGAGAAGGGCTTTCACCTAAGATGCCCCGCGTCCCTGTAGGCTGTGCCAGCCAGKGCAGGGACAACTGTCTTATCCTTTGAAAAAGTGCAATTGCTTATGTGCTAGGTCACCTTTTCCCTGGGGCTCCTCTCTCCAAGGACATCCCTTGGGCACCATCCCTTGGGCACGACCTGTCAGTGCCCATGTATATCATACCTGCTGCCACCGTCCCGCACCACCCAACAACCTTGGGCCAGATGTGAGGACAGGGAAGTGACGTTTGCTCTAATGGAGGGGGCAGAGGCAGTGACCCCGTGGCACCCAGTCTAGATACGATGTGCTCATGTGAAAGCGGTGTTGTGTGATGGCATCAAGAAACCTGGAGACAAGGGGCCCTTCCTCTGCCTGGGAGGGTGGTGACAGGTGAGTCACCCCTGAAACCTCTCTGGTGAGACCTGGAGTGGGCAGGGGCAAGGCAGCAGCGCAGGTAGCAGGGCAGGAGGGTGGGTCAGCGGGAGATCAAGGAGAAACCTCCTGGCGGCATGTGGCCAGGTGACTGGTCTGGGCTGCTCCCTGTCTGAGCCTGGGTAGGGACAAGACTGTGTGGGCACCCAGAGGCCACACATCTTGTTCCCATGGAAGTGGGCAAGGCGGGGGTGGAGCTCTGGTGGGTAGGCTGGCTCATGTTGGGGGCTTGGGGGAGACCCCACTTTCAGAGATGGATTGATGCCTACCCACACAGACGGTGCTCTGCAGGGCCATGAGCTGCACATCACTATGTCCAGCCCGGGTTTATGGCTTCCGGGGCTACAAAAAACAAGCGCTCCGAGCTGCCCAGGCTGGTGCTGGTGCTGCAGGGAGAGTGCCTGGGGAGGAGGGTACCAGAGCCAGATAGTAGCTCAACAGCTCTTTAAGGACGGGCGTGGGGTGGGGGCTTAGTGTGCAATTTCTTCTTACCCACTCCTCTGTCCTCGGCCACCCCAAGGGTGCAGGATGGGGGAGCAGGGAAGCTCCTCCCTTCACCGTTGTCCCTGAGACCGGCTTTTTCTGAACTGCCAGGAAAAGACCCCATCCCTCATGGGCACTGGATCTCCCCGATGTGCACCAGGGCAGCTACCCCCTCTTCCCATTGGTCAAAATGTTGGCGATCGCCATGTCCCCTTGCAAACCTTAGCCTGTCTCAGCTGCTGCTTCGAGTCCACKCCAGTTTCCTTCTTACCACCTTTGCCCGCAATGGAGCAAAGTGAAACAGCAACAGGAAAACTGAAATCGTAAACCCCAGGCTGGAACAGCCGCTTCCCACTTGGGCTGGGCCTTTTCAGGCCTCCAGGAGCGCGGACTGTCCCAGCACGCGGGCGGCAGCAGGGGGCGCTCGCAACCCGGAGACGCTCGCCTCGGACTCTGCAGGTCCCTGGAGTCCAGTCAGGGTGGAGCGAGGGATTCGGGACAGTCTCCCCGCTCCCACCCCCTCTCCGCTGGGTTGCCTCATGGCTCGGGTGTGGTTAGTTATGCTCCAGCGCCCCAACACTCCCCCACGCTCTCCTTTGGGCTTATTGGGCGACAGGAGGGGAGACCAGCTCGCACCCTCCGCCCTTGATCTGGCTGCGCGGGTCCCAGCCTCGCAGTCTCCTTCCCAGTGCCCGCTGACGAGCAGCTCGGCCTCCTGGGTCCCCGCAGGTACCGGCCCTTCCTCTTCGGCACTCATCCTTCCCAGAGTCCCGAAGGTCCCAGACGCTGGGCCCCTCTGACCTCCCTCCGCGTGGCGGCCGAGAGGAAAAGGGGTCGGGGCGCCAGGCGGAGGCCAGGGTGCGGGGAGGCAGCGCAGGACCCGTCCGCCCCCTGCAAAGCGCATCTTCCACCCACCCCCCTCCGCCCGCCCGCCCGCCCCCGCCCCTCCTCCCGCTCCCGCCTCCAGTCTCCTCCTCCTCCCGCGGCTCCCGCGGCTCCCGCCCTCCTCCCCACTCCCCTGCCGCGGCGGGTGCCTGCAGGCGCGGCTCCGGGCGAGAGCCGGCAGCGGAGCGAGCTCCTCGCTCTTCGCCTCCTCCCAGGACCGCCGAGCACACCCAGTCGGGTCTTCCAGGCTCCGCGCCCAGCAGTGCATCCGGCCACCCTGCGGTGCGACAGCGCTACTTTCCTGCAGTCTCGGGCGGGACGGGGGACAACTTGGAAAACTTCTCTGGGGCAGACGGCAGGGACGCTGGGCGCTGGTGGAAGAGGATGTAGGAGGGCGGTGGCTGGCCCCGGGTGTCCCCGGACCTCCTAGGCACCGTTCGTCCGGGCCATGGGGCTCCAGCGCCTTCAGCGTCGCCGGGGCAACCATCCCTTCGCCTAACCGAGCCGGGGTGGTGCTCTCTCCCGCCGTGCGTCCGCCTGGAGAGCAGCGGTGCCACTGGCCATGTCCGGCCCCACCATGGACCACCAGGAGCCCTACTCGGTGCAGGCTACAGCTGCCATCGCGGCAGCCATCACCTTCCTCATCCTCTTCACCATTTTCGGCAACGCGCTGGTCATCCTGGCCGTGTTGACCAGCCGCTCGCTGCGCGCACCGCAAAACCTGTTCTTGGTGTCCCTGGCTGCTGCTGACATCCTCGTGGCCACGCTCATCATCCCTTTCTCGCTGGCCAACGAGCTGCTGGGCTACTGGTACTTTCGGCGCACATGGTGCGAGGTGTACCTGGCGCTCGACGTGCTCTTCTGTACYTCGTCCATCGTGCACCTGTGCGCCATCAGCCTGGACCGCTACTGGGCGGTGAGCCGCGCGCTGGAGTACAACTCGAAGCGCACACCGCGCCGCATCAAGTGCATTATCCTTACCGTGTGGCTCATCGCAGCCGTCATCTCGCTGCCGCCCCTCATCTACAAGGGCGACCAGGGCCCCCAGCCCCACGGGCGCCCCCAGTGCAAGCTCAACCAAGAGGCCTGGTACATCTTAGCCTCCAGCATCGGCTCTTTCTTTGCGCCCTGCCTCATCATGATCCTTGTCTACCTACGCATCTACCTGATTGCCAAACGCAGCCACCGCAGAGGGCCGGGGGCCAAAGGCGGGCCAGGCCCTGGTGAGGCGAAGCCGTCSGGTCCTGTCCCTGGGGGCACTTCAGCCTCGGCCAAGGTGCCAACCCTGGCCTCTCCTCTGTCTTCTACTGGAGAGGCCAATGGACACCCCAAGCCCACTGGGGAGAAAGAGGAAGGAGAGGCCCCTGAAGAGCCTGGGAGCAGGGCCTTGCCCCCCAGCTGGACTGCCCTCCCCAAGGCAGACCAGAGCCAGAAGAGGGACCTTTGTGGGGCATCTCCAGAGGAGGACGCTGAAGAGGAGGAAGAGTGTGACCCTCAGTCAGTGCCAGCATCTTCTGCCTCCGTTTGCAGTCCCCCCTTGCAGAAGCCACAGGGTTCCCGGGTGCTGGCCACCCTACGTGGACAGGTGCTCCTGGGCAGGGGTGCGGGTGCTGTGGGTGGGCAGTGGTGGCGTCGGCGGGCGCAGCTGACCCGGGAGAAGCGGTTCACGTTTGTGCTGGCCGTGGTCATCGGGGTCTTCGTGCTCTGCTGGTTCCCCTTCTTCTTCAGCTACAGCCTGGGTGCCATCTGCCCACAGCACTGCAAGGTGCCCCRCGGCCTCTTCCAGTTCTTCTTCTGGATTGGCTACTGTAACAGCTCCCTGAACCCTGTCATCTACACCRTCTTCAACCAGGACTTTCGTCGTGCCTTCCGAAGGATCCTTTGCCGCCAGTGGACCCAGACGGCCTGGTGAGCTGCCTGCCACTGCCCGTGTGGGGTGGGTGCCAGCGCCACCCTGTCTTTTGCCCTCCTTTATGTGGCTGTCTCCCTGGGGCCCTCTGGTCCCTGCGCAGTTCCTACAGGTTGCATCCTAGGAGTCCCCTTGGAGGGGAGGGGGAGGGGCAGAGGTGCGGTTGAGAGGGTCCATCTGAGGCACCCCCTGGCTGGCTTTGCTGGGGGGACCTCTTCTCCATCCCCTGCCCGGGCACAGGCACAGGGTGAAGCCCGGACCTTCCTGAATGTGGCAGAGACCAGGTCAGAGTAGAGCACCTCTGTGCCAGGCCCCTGCGGGCTGATGGATGGGCTTCCCTTTGCTGAGGACCCTGGGTGCCTTGGCAGGTCATTCACTTGGGGTGTTTTTGTTTCTTTCGCACCCCCTGATCCCCYGATCCCTCCAAAGAGCAGGAAGTCCACCTTCCACTTCCCCCAGGAGGGCCTGATGCTGARGCTGATGAAGAAGTGAAGTCTGTTCACCCACATGGGCACCATGGTCCTCCCTGGTGCTGGGATGGGGTTATGGGATGCCATTCTCTGGGCCCATCTCTCCCCCTTGCCTCTGCTTTTGGATCTGTGGCTCCTTTAAAGGCCAGGCCCGTGCATTGGCTTCCCCACCCGACCCTCCTTTGGGAGGCAGGTAGGCACGTGGATGCCTCTGTGGGGAGGTTTGGAGGCCGGGCCTCTGCCTCATGGGAGATCCCCGATCACTGGCACTCACCCCTGCAAAACGCAGGGTGACAATAACTCGMCGCCCACTTGCTGCCGGAGATGAAAGGCTTTGCAGAAAGCTCTGTGCTCCGCGGGGGACATGCTAGAGAACCGTCAAATGTGATTATCCGGTGATGTAAAAGCCCCTTTCCTCTGTGCTTACCGCCACCCGAGTTCCTGTAGACTTTTGTTCTGTCCCTGGGGTGTGTGAATTCCTACCCCAAACTGGAAGCAGAGAGCAGCTCACAGTACTGCTATCTGAAGTCACAGGATTTCTTTGAGAACGTGTTCTTGGGCCCACAAAGGTTTGAGTTATTATGCCGGTGACAGCTTCTTCATGTGTCACCTGCAACACCAAGAGGATTTGCATGGCTTGGCTCCCACCCCAGGAGGGAATAAGTCTTTTGTCATCAAACAGGCAGATTTCCCCCCAAAGATGGCTAAAAATACCYGCACCATGGAAGCAGTCTGAGCTGAGAGCCCAGGGAGGAAGGCAGAGCCCCCAGTGGGTGCAGAGGCCGGAGCAGGCAGCGAGGCCCTGAGGACCGCTGGGGGAGCCCCAAGCTGCCGTGCGTAGGTGGACAGGTTTCTGACCTCCAGCTGGGTTCCTGTGGCGCGTAACGCACCCCACGCCTTATTGATGGAGAACCCCACGCCTTACTGATGGAGAACCGGGCAGCCACGCTGCCCTGGGCTGAGGGCCTGTCCCTCTTGGTCCTCTCCTCCACCCGAGATCCCGGTGCCCAGAACAGTCTCTAAAGCGCAGTGCCCCGTCTTCCCCAAGGGCTGCTTGGCGTGTGGCCTGCCAGCGTGGGGGTTGGGGTGGGCTGAGTGGCACAGGTTGTTGGCACTCTGACGAACCTGCCAGATCCGGAAGGTGCCGCAGAGGTTTTCGGGGGAGAATGGCGGGGACCAAAATGATCCGAGCTTGGTCTTTGGCCAGTTGTGGCTGTGAGGCCAGGACATGGGCTTGGGGTGTGGCTGGTGGGCTGGGCCCAGGGGAGGGATTGACACGTGACCATCTGCTGCCCATCTTTTGTGTGCTGCATGGGACCCCTGGTCATGTGGCCYGTGGCCCTCTTGTGACATGCAGGCATTTTTAAAAAGTCGGAGCTATTTTATCAATAAAGGATATTTTGTAATAAGCCAGCAGTGTCATCATTGTCCCAGGGACGTCACACTCCGGGTGTTGGCCCAAGGAGCTGGGGCTCTCTTCCAGGGCCACCGTGCTCTCCTCCCCCGCCCGCCCCCCAACACCTGCCTGTCACAGCCTTCCTCATCGTCACCAGCAATGGGGTGACTGTGGCTGCCTGGAAGGGAGAGGAAGGAGGCTCCCTGGAAGAGGGGCCTTTGGGTTGGGTCCTGGGAGAGGAGCAGGAGTCCACCGAGAGGCCAGGTAGGAAGTGTGGGGTTGGCTAGATGAGTTGCAGGGTGGGAGAGACAGCCCCAAGCTGGTCAGAGTCTGCCACACATGGGTAGGAGGAACAGAGGGAGGGAGAGAGAAGGCCATCCACTCCCCCCCCCCCCCGGGGCTGAACCCCAGGACACTTACACAGCCTTTTTTTTTTTTCAGTTGTTGATGGACCTTTTTAAAATGTATTTATGTGCTGAGTTACTCAGGGCCTCGCTAAGTTGCTGAGGCTGGCTTTGAACTCACAATCCTCCTGCCTCAGCCTCCGGAGCCGCTGGGAGGACAGGCGTGTGCCCYGGCGCCTGGCCAGGAAGGCCCTTTTTTGCAGAATGGCATTAAGCCGCTCTCTGCAGCAAGGGGTAGGAGCGGGGGATGGAGCTGCTTCCCTTCCGCTGTCCCCTGCTAAGACTCAGCCCCACCCTCGGAGCTGGAAGGCCTGCTGAGGTCATTCCCTGACGGACATAGGAGGTCCTCATGCTGTCCTGTGAGCGGGAGTGAGAGTCAGTCCTTAGGCCTCAGGGAGGGCAGCCTCAGGGCCCGGACCGGACTGGTCTGGCTCCATGAGCAGGGGAGGTGACGGCAAGCTGCTACAAGGACACCATGGGCAGGGGGACACCGGTGGCAGACCCCGGGGAGAGAGACCAGGGGGTGGGCYGTGAGGCCAGCGTCTGAGGTGTAGGGGCCACGCCTCTGCTAGGAATGACCAGYGGGGACCCCAATGTGCCCACCACCCTGGGTGGATATGGGCTCTGCTGAGGTCTAACAATAAAGACCTGCCCTGCCCTGCTCCCAGCTCCTTCCAGTGGCCAGGGCACCCTGTGCCGAGGCCTGAGGCCACATACAGCAGAACGTCTCAGTCTGTCTTAGGTCGGCCCAGGCTCCTCTGCTGTGCCTTGGCTGAAGGGGTAGGTCCTGGGGCTTGGGAGTAGGCTCCCTGTCCCACTCTGGACAGGAGCAGCAGGTCAGCCTTGCTGGAACAGGACTGTGTGAAGCCCATTCTGAATACACTGTCTCACTGAATCCTCAAAACCTTGCTGGAGTGGTCATTTTTACAAAAGAAGAAGCTGAGGTTCAAGGTCACCCAGATGGGTCATGGAACCATAAAACTGTAAAGTTCAGGTCCAGAAAAATTGTGGTTCCATCTCGTGAGTAGCTCTCGTTCAGTGATATCTTCTGTCTGGAGGTCCTGAGACTCTCTTAGGCTGGGGTCAGTAGGCAGCAGTGCTGTGATCGATTGCTCACGTCTGTGCTGGCCACAGACGGTGTAAGCTATGGTATGTGTGTCTCAGGTTTTCCATTTCTGAAAGCTAAGCGCAATCCATGGATTTCATTGAAGAAGAGATGGATCCCAGAGACAAAGGATGTGCCTCAGGTGGCCTCACACAGGCACATGGTGGCAGGACTGGATCTAGAATCCTGGTGGCCCAGCATACTGCACCTTCTTACTGAAGGAAATGAATTGCACCCAGACTCAAGCAATAACATTCCTGCATTCAGGAAACTTCTGCTGGCAGCCTGCTTATGTCAGGTCCTGGTCTAGTCTTATTCTCATTTTGCTGCTTTATTCAGTTCTCAAATGAGGAAGGTCGGGGGCAGAATCCCAGAGACTTGTCCAGAGTTACACAGCTAATAACGGTTGCAGGTAAAGCTGGATCAAGGAACCTGGGTTCCCAGTGTGGCTTTCCCTCCTCTCATGCCGCATTCCTGCAATTCTCTGTTAGTAAGACCTGCTCTTGATTCCACCCTCAGCCCATCTGAAGGTGACTGGATTGATGAAGTGGGCCCAGAGTGACAGAGATAGGGAAGTGGGGTGGGGACAGCCCTTTCTTCCTAGGGACCAATCCTGCCAAACACCGAAGAGATGAGAGCAGGGAGCCTTGGTAGTTCACCAGATGGCAGTGAGATGCCTTGGTTGGCACATTGACCTTCTGTAGATCCCTTTCTTAATAAGCTGTCCCTGAGGGATGTGGAGGAGCATGCCTATAATCTCAGTGAATCGGGAGGCTGAGGCAGGAGGATCACATGTTCAGGGCCAGCCTCAGCAACTTAGCGATACCCTAAGCAACTTAGTAAGACAAGGTCTCATTTTTTTTTTTTAAAGGGGCTGGTGATGTATTTCAATGCAAGGTGTCCCTATATTCAATTCCTGGGATCAGGAAAAAAAAACATCCCTGATAAAAGGGCAGCCCTAGCATGCGCGTGCATGTGCGCACGTACACACACACACACACACACACACACACACACACATTGAAAAAAAAAAGAGGGAGGGAGTAGAGACCCTCCAGCCACCCCTGCTCTGGGAGAATCACAGTTCACCAGGGATACACTTCAGTCCCTGCTTCAAGACAGCTACTGAGAAATTGGGGACCTCTGAGAATTTCTCTTTGGAGCATTTGGTGTGAGAAGCTCTTGATTGTCCACTCAGAAGGTACTGGACACAGCCTGCTCCAGAGACCCGACGTGGAGGACAGCTGGGCAGCCAAGCTCCTGCGCGCTCCTGTTCCTCGGCATGATCTCGTGTGTGTGCGCGTGCGTGTGTGTACATATATATATATATATATACAGTGTGCGTGTGCGTGTCCGTACCTGCATGCATTGCAGGTGCTGGACCTGGATTGGGACCCTGCCTACCCAGCTCCACCCGTGAACAGGGCTCCTCGTGGCTGGGGAAGAGGCGTCTGCCCAGCTGCACTTGGCCCCAGCCACCTCTGGTTTCTGGCCCCCCGCTGGCCGGCCATTCTGCTCTTGGGGCCTGGTGGCTGTAGGTGGCAGAGCTGGCCGGGACTGCTCTGCCCCTAGGAATCACAGTAGGTGGGGACCCCAGGGTTCAGGTCCTSCTCTGCCACGTCTGTTGGGCTGGCCCTGGTCAGGGCTTGGTCCCTCCCTGGGCCTCAGTGTCCTTGCCTACCCATGGAGGATGGTCCTGGGGTCCCCTGGGGACCCCAGCATGGACCCCCTCTTTCCTCTTCCCACTGTCCCCGTCCCTATGGAGTCCCTACAGACATGGAGGTTCCTGGAGCTCCCCAGCTGTCCTCAGAGTCAGGTTCTTGGGTAGGACAGAGCTGTGCCTCGGTGCAGAATTGGGCACCACGTCTGGAGTGACCGGTCTCTCTGGGGCCTTCTGAGACGTGCAGTGGGGAGAGACGTGCAGTGGGGAGAGAAGAAGGTCAGCGCTGGGGTCTTAGGGCCTAGTGGTGTGACTGTCATTCCCGTTTGGGGCCAGGAAACAAGCCGAGGTCATTGAATCCAGCCGTGCACCCAGCCCGACCTCCTCCCAGCTGGGGGCTCAGACGCCCCTCTGCCTCTGTGGGTGCTGCCGGGTCTTTCCTGTGGAGGCCCCGTGTGGTCCTGGGAGAGCTCCCTGGGGGCTGATGCCCAGGCTGGGGAGGCCAGCAGGGGAGGCGGGGGTGGGGGTGCTGCCTGGCTAAAATTAGACCACGGGATTCTTGGGTGCTCCACCACCGCGGGGCCTTCCATCCGGCCTGGGGAGGCTGCTGCCGGAGGGAGCCTGGAGTCCCAGCTCCCTCCCTGTGGGCTCCGATAGCTTCAGACCCTGGCCTGGCCCTGGCCGGGGCTCCTCCCTTGGCTGGGCCTTGGAGCCCTCCATCGATGAGCGGTGACTTCCACCGAGGCCCCTGCGGCAGCTCTGCACCCTGGGCTCCAGCTCCTCGGGGGCTCCCCCTCTTCCCTCCTCCTGCCCTTCCCACTTCCGTCCTGGGTGACTGCTYCCCCTCCGCTGAGTCCCCCACTGCCTCCTGTGGCCCCTCTGGCTTCTGTCCCACCCAGAGCTTGGATCTTCACAGGCCCCAGAGGCTCGGGGCCTAGTGGTGGCCGTGAGGGGACCGGAACCGGCTGGAGATGGAAAAAGAGCCTTCCTCCCGGAAAGTCGGGCTATTTCTGTCCTTGTGCAGCCCTGGGGGGGGGCACTCTGGGCAGGGCAGGTGGGGGAGGTGCCGGGCCAGGCCCGGTGTGAGGGTCCTGACCTGGACTTCCCCAGGGAGGGGACAGGCCCCTTTTGGGGCTGAAGGCTGGGTCCCTCCGAACTCAGAGCTTCCATTCTGCGATGGCAGGAGCTCCCCCACCCCGCYCACCCCTCCACTCCCCAGGGCCATGTCAAGAGGGGAGAGGGCTGGGCTGTGGCCTGCAGGGACCCAGGTGTCCCTTTCCCACCGGACCCAGCTGCAGCTGTGCGGGAGGGAGCGTGAGAGGCTGCTGGGCCGGGGCCTGGAGTCCCTGGACGCTGGCGGGGAGGGGCGGCAAGGGTGAAGCCCAGGGTTCCCTCCCAGGGTGACCACAGAGTCGGCTCCAGCTGCAGGTCCAGGCTGTGGCCCCCTTTCCTCTGCTGGCCTGGTAGCTGGCATCAGCGTGGGCACCCAGCTAGCAGCCTGCGAAGGATCCCTGAGCTGTATCACAAGCTCTGGTGGCCGTCCCAGYGGGGCCACCAAATTTCTGGGTAACCCGGGGCGCATCCCTTCACCTCTCTGGGCTTCAACATTTTCAAGGTCAGGTGAAGCCGTGGGACTGGCTTCAAATAATGTCCTGGGTGCCGGCCCAGGAGCCACCGAGCAGGAGGAGGGAGGGGTAACTGAGGTCCCCTGCCCTGTCCACCCGGCCGCCTCCCCTCCAGGTCCCTCCCCTGTCCTCCCTGCGCTTCCTCAGCCTC